TAAAAAACAAATTATTTAGAAAAAAATATTCAGGCCTAAGACAGATGACAACGATGAACTGCGTGCTTTGTGTAGGTCACAGCGAATTATAGTCTGCATTTACGAATTGCTGGTCCAGTAAAAATTGTACATGGCCTCGTCGGTCTGTGGCAGAAGGCATAACCCAAACAGCTTCTATCACATACCAATTATAACGCCTTTTCATAAATATGGCTGTCTTCTGGCTTGCAGCACTGTGTCTCGTAGAATGTAGCTAACTTCTGCCTCCATCTTCAGGGCAAGACTGCACGACCTACAACCCAGAATACTCTCCGCTGTGAGGACCTCAAGTCCTGCCTTTGCTTAAGTCTCTTCTTACTTCGGGCTGTACCTTCCTTCGGAATAACTGAGGTCCCTTTTTACTCCTTCAACTTCACGTACCTTCTTTCGTCCCTTCCATTAGGCAGAGGTCGTTGAGGTCGTCTTCGTTCGGGTGAGGTGGAAAACGCGTATCTACACTTGTTCATCGTTAGGTGGCTTGACCGGTTTGCTAAATAAAGAACAAAGTGGGGATAATTATTATCGTACTTGCCCTTGTAACCGGTTGAGTGAATGCATGCAAGATGGCACGTCTCGTGTACTATTCTGTGTAGTAACTACTGATGATATTTATATGGGTTTGTTGTCTGTCGCTTGTAAATTTGCAGTAAATGTCTTCATTTTTCCTCTGACGATATAGTTGTTCTTGGTTTGTAACCCAGTGTGGACTTTAGGTAGATACCGACGTTTCGGAGAAACATATTGTCTCCGTCTTCAGCACTTTAGCTGTGAAGATGGAGAATCTATTGTTTCTCCCGAACTTTGAACGTTGGTATCTACCAAGAAGTCCACACGGCGTTACAAACGATTAATATTGAAATCTTCATTCGATATTATTTATTGTCTCGGATGTATCTGATAAACACGACTTTTCAAGGGTTGCTTTTACCTCCGTATCTAGGTTATTATCTTTATACTCGCAGCTTTTCTGTTCTGATTGTTTTCGGTTATGATCGGACTCGGGAACGTTTTGACTGCTACGATAATACACTAAGCACTAGACCCAAAACACCATGTAACTGCAAGAAACAGGGATATTTATTGTATTAAATTATATCTGCTAAGAGAAATTGTTCTCACACTAATGTAGTCTGATTAATATAGGAAATACTGTGGCTTGATGTTCGTTGCATTTTTGGAATTAAGATTTCCTGCATTATCGCCCACTTAGTTATTCGACAAGAGGGTCAACTTTGTTGTGAGAGCCGGACTACGAGGAAGTTGCTCTCCGGGCTACTCCATGCAACAACAGCAGGTGCAGGACAACGTTTTTAATTTATGATAACCTCAGGCTCTTAACTACTGCGGACAGTCGCCACCTTGTAAGTGTGTGGGGACTGAAATTCAGAAAAGTTTGATTAGATATAAATCTCTCCGTTGTGAGGTGGACGCACATCTGCCAGTCTTCCTGTCCTGTCGGCAACCACTCCGAATTTCTGAACCCTACAAAGAATTCTACAACACGAATGACTGTTATTAACCGTATTATTAGCTGCTTCAAGAAGCAGGGCAGTTCTGTATAATTTCATTTAGTCCATCGTTGTGCGGGGATATGATTACGATTCGTTGTAAGTTAGCACCAGTCTGTGATATTTGAGGTCTTCAAGGCGGTGAAGATGATTTTGTTCTGCTGGGTAGTGACACTTGTGTTTTGGAGAAATAAAAATTTCCATTCTAGTAGATGAACTCTGCGTAGTTTTGCATCTCTGAAGTTAGAGATAAATATGTTTCTCCGAAATGTTTTATCTATCTACGACTCTGTACGTCGTCGCAGCTCGAGAGAACCTTGCCACTTAACATGAATTGTTTATAAATAATGATAACTTATTTCCTTCATTTGCTTACTATTTCGTATAATACGTTGCTCCATGGATCGGAGTAATTTTTTTTAAGCAGGTTATCAGGAAATTCGCTGCCTTTTACTGTATCCGAAAGATGATTACCATTATTTCAGGAACCCTGGACCCTGTTCTGAGCCAGATGAATCCAGCCCACACGATTATTTCCAGTTTATTTGGTATTCGTATTATTATTAGTATTATCCTCTTATCTGTACGTAGGTCTTCGAAGTTGTCTTTTGCTTTCAGGTTTTTCGTCTAAATTTTTTTCGTATTTCTCGTCCCTCACGTAATTGTCATTTGCTCTGCCTGCTTCATCCTGCCCTATTTTCTTCAGTTACACTACCATCTTCCAGAAGTCCATTCGATTTACACATTATTTCTTGTACCTAGTCAGAAACCTGCGTCATGTATAAATAATACCCTTCTATCAACACAGTTGCGTTGCACGTCTTCGTACGCTTTTGTAATATTCTGACTTTCGAATGGTATCTTTCCTTCAAATTCAACGATCACACGCCATGAGTAAAGCATACGATAATCTGAAGCAGTTTCTATATGACGCTTACATATTTATATTAAGAGAATACGTAACAAAAATAATCAGTATTAATTTAAATAGGCCTGGATTATTTATCGGCACTCGAGAAAGGAAACCTACTTACATTCTGTGTATAGGACCCATGAATGTAATCGATATATTATTTCGATAAATCTTTTATCGATTATATTCATTTTACTTCCCACAGTTCAGCTTGTGAGGCTTATGACAGTGACGGGCTAGAAGCTGACTTGACTGACTTCGTGATGCAGTCTGAAATTCTTTAAATGAAGAATTGTGTGTGTCTGAAGGAAGGAATGTTTTTTGTGTGAATGTAAGTAAATGTTTTGATAATACTTTATAGAAATTATATAAACACTTAACACACTTGTAGATTCTGGCCTTCTTCGTCACAGCCTGAATGTAGTTTTACGTAACACATGAGACCCTCTGTCTCTTTTGCTGTGGGGGTACGACAGGACACTAGCAGCAGCCAGAAGTTTCCTGTTCCTGATTTAGACTTATGATTCCTTATCACCCGAAGCCTTTTGTTCTGTGTTTATGGGAATCGTGTGACAGTTGTGGCCTTTTTCCCCCTTCTCTGTTCCCTCACCTGTCACTTCAGTTTACGTATTTATGGTTATTGCTACCTTAAAAGGAGTATCAACATTTGCTGCCACAGAATTATCGTAAGGCAAACTACAGTCCCCAAAGAATTCAAGAAATGCGTCTTACATAGGAAGTAAAATGGGATAAATTGAATACGTAACGACTGTCATAAAATTCACCTCTAATAAAATGTGTACTCGATGTGGAGGACAGTGAAACTTTGTCGCGGTAATGCTGAAGGAACGTGTAAGATACATGAAGTAATGTACGATGGAAATCTGGAGCAAATATCCTGTGTGCGAGGAAAACGTTTCCAGGTCGTCCTTAGTGTTACGAATTTGTATTCGGAATTAGCCCTCTCTAAACCTTTGGCCTGGTAGGTCGATATTTTACAAAAGTTGGTGTCAGCATTATGTCATTGGAGGCCACTTCAACCTTCTACGTTTGAGTACCTTAACAACAACAACAACAACATGGCGGGCGTACTAACTTAAGAGGTCGGTACGACAGCAGCGCTGCTATGTTAAGGTTCTGGAACTATTCATATCTTTAAGTGACTTTTCGATTGGAGTATCGTTATGTAAGTTCAGTTCTCTTCATGTTACCAAGGTTGATAAACCTGAATACCGGATATAGTCTGTTAATAACGCTGACGAAACTACGGTGTAATCCTGATGAAAACTTGTGCAGTGGTAAGTAGGCTTTGAGATCTGGGTGAGATTTCTTACTTCAGTTCAGTGTATATACAATTAGAGTTAGAAGTACGAAGGACACAGTGATGTTTCTTTTTCAGATTGAACTTTCAGATTCCATAAAACAAGGAATTTCTTGCCTAACTGAGCAACTATTAGGCACAGTCTCAGTAAAGGGACTCTTCTGCTTGGACTTTAATTGAGTGTGCCTATGTTTGTTATTTACAAGATAATTAGGTATAATAAGAAGACACGTTGTCTCTTATAGCACCCGAAAAAAGTCTCCTTCAGACCTTGAAAGCGATGTTGTACAGATCTTGAATTCTGATTTTTACCACAAACTGTATGAGATGAGGCTAAAATAGAAATTCATACGTAAATAGGCCCTATTACGAGGATGTGAAAGGGACACAGTCAGTGTTATTTGTGGGAGATGTTACGTAGTCTTGTCAAACCTTTCTGTCAGTTAAACTGTGATGCAAACAAAGTGTAAAATTTATAAGGAATTAATAATTCTGTTACTGAACGTCGCATCCGAGTAAAATGCTTAGTTCTCTTTAACGTCATTTGTGCCTTTCGTCAGCTTTGTTTTCTTCCAAATTTTATTAATTCCTCCTCCGTTCAGGAGTCAAAACAAGATGGTAGCAGACTTATTTGACCTGCTCTCTGTACACCCGGTGGTCGTGAATGTGGACCAGTCTTCTGTTGTCACTCACTCCGGAGTCGCTGACGTGAGCTGAGTCTGCTCTTCTTGGTAGCTGCTGATAAGGTAGCTAGGCAACCCTCCGTGCTTTTATTGGATATGAAACGAGAGTAGGAACAAGTGGGACAGGGAGGGGGGGACAAGATTTATATGCTGGTGACTGCAGTAATCGAACCACGCCCTAATATTCATTCGTATTACATTCTCTCTCTGTCTCTCTCTATTCTCACGTCTGTGGTGTTCTATATATTTGTTCTTGCTGCTTTTCTACGCATTTCGCATGCATTCCCCACCTCCATTTTAAGTTCTGATTTCTTGCATTCACATTTTCTTCCCAAACCATGTTAAAGAAATGAAACAAGATAAGAAATGAAATTGTAATCTGAGCTATTTCCAAGAGTGTACATTTGTATTTTTTGCTGACTTTTTATCAGTGCCACAGTAGAGCACGGAATATTCTCGAAAATTTACATTCTCAAGCAAACGTTGGGGTCTAATATTTTTACATTTTAATTATTTATGATTTATTTCATTGCAGTTACTAATGTGTTTGCAACGTTTCGTCTTCAGAGATTTAGTAACCAGTATCATGGAGCACGGTCATTCTTGAGAATCTAACACTCGTTCATTCGTTACCGTTTTCGCAAGAGCTTGTCACTAGACGAAATCTAGTCCACAGCCTACTGCCCTGTAACCTTCATTTCCGCCTTAAATTGTCCTCCCACCTACCTGTGTCCAGTTCAACTACAGCTTTCCACCGGAAACCACACCTACGTAGTCCACTTCACTGAAGTAGGTGAGCTGCTTAAGACGTAGTCCATTGCGTGTTGAAGTCAGCAACAGAAAGTACGTGTACAATTTAGTAGTTTCGGGCACTTAAAGAGAACCGCTTGTAAATGACCAGTTAAATCAAACAATATGTTGGATCTCAATAAGCATTAAAACTTGCATAGAAAATTATTGTGCGTATGGACTGTCAATCTAACGAATTATGAAGCCCCTCTTTATGTATTCATCCCAGTCTTTTTACTTCTCGTAGGATAACAACCATATAGTAAAATAATTTATTTTATTTTTGAGTGTGTTGTACTATCAAAGTATTGAATTAGGAGAGCTGGGAGGCAGACGCCAGAAAACTGATATGCAGTTTGTTTAATTTCTTTGTTATTGCTGGTGGTTGGATTTGAATCTGGTACTGCAGGATTCTGGAAGACAGCAAACAAAATTATTACTTAGAGGGTTCTTGGTTCCATCACGATCGATTGAAAATAGAAAACAGAATATCACGATGTGTGTCTGTACTTGTGTGTGTGTGTGCGCGCGCCAGTTTGTGTACATCAGTACATACACTGATTATTACCTATTTTTATAAACTATATGACTTTCATTTAGTTTAGAGGCTGTCACATGCTAAAATAAATTTTATGTTCTCTGTAGTTGGAACACAGCCTAAGAAATTATCTGATTAGATTCCTAATATATCATTGTTTTCATGTAATTAAATACACGACTCATTTGTGAAATGGGTTAATTCAACGTTAATCAATGCCATGATATGATCTTATAATGCTTGACAAAGCTCACAGAATAGTTGCGTTTGCTGATACTTCTAATGCAGACACTCGTAAACTACAAAGGCTTACAGAACGTAGACATGCTTATTATAGTACACAAGATATGTCATTGTAGTAGTCAGTACTTTCCAATTAACTTTGTATAAAACGAACAGTTTCTTTGATCAGAATAATGGGAATGTTTCAGCAGAGCTTTCTCCAGACAAGATATTAACAAACTTTCCTCTGAGCAGGTTACCATGGAAGCGGGGAGTAATTTAATCGAACAAGCCATAAAGCTTGTGGCATTGCGGTGAAGCGACTTTATGGAAATTTCAAGTAACCTTAAAACAGCTCTGTAATTGATATAGGATGATTTCAGTATAATTTAACTTCAGTAGTAGGTTTTTAACAGGTCACAGAATGGTTAGCAAACATGTGAAATATGCATGGATACAATAATACTGTTTTTAGTCGTAAAATAGTCATAATTGTCTTTTAATGCTGAATAATTTAATAGTGTGAGAAAACGGTGTATCGATTAGTATTGCTTTACGTCTGATTATACTATTCGAATGTGATTTTTTCTTCTAAAGGACAGAGTTGTAATAAAAACCTGACCAGCGTTTAACTGCAAAATTTGTAGGATTTGAGGTTTTCACAGCGGCCAGTCTGAAAATTGCTGTCTGCTGGGTTGTTGCGCCGTGTATTCTGGTAGATTTCCTCCAATGTCACATTTCCACCTCTGAAACGTTGGTGGAAATATACCAGACTACACGGCGGAATATCCCGGATGACAACAATCTGCAAAATTTGTGATCGTTGCATTGGTAAACTGAAGAATTGGCATTGATAATGTGCTTTTTATTACATCGTTAGACCGAGAATTATTGCATAAATGAACTGAGCCAGTGTTCACTGAAAATTGCAGTAATGATAAGATTTCAGGTGTTCATGGTTCCGGGTATGAAGGTCTTCTGGGTTATTGCGCCTTTTCAGAGACGCATGCTACCTTAATCATTCAGGACTATGAATCACTCAGCAACCACCTCTGAAACGTCGGTAGACTCGCACCAGACTGCAAGATCAAAAATCCCAGAAAACAGCCACATTTACACTCACCCCCGTGAGGACCTGAAATCTCACAGACTTAAGCGTTTTATCCGTGTTAAGGATCTTTGGTGGACTCTTGTGAATGCGATAATGAAGCTACAGGTCCCATGAAAGGTATGTAATTTAGGTAGTTAGTGTTATTACCTTCATAAACTGGATATTTTTGGTTATTTATGTTTTCATCTTAGATAGACCTGTGTCATTTTATTGATAAAATAGGGCCCACTACATATTAAAGCTATTAGGTACATAAAAGGGGAATTCTCAGGTAAATGCCCCCTCCTGTCAAGTTGTGGTAATAGACACAAAAAAGAAACTTTTGCTCAATTCTGTTAAAAGTGGCGATATAACCTTTCATTATTCGTGTCTTCTGCGGAGCACAAGGAGCTCTCAGACGTGGGCATGATTGTAAAGAAAACCCTCCGCTTTGTACCTGCCACAAAGTTTGTAGAGCTTTTCCATACCTGTGTTATGTTGCCACTGCTCTTATATTTTTCCCCATACAAAACCCATGTCTCCTAAATCCTAAAGCGTTTATGTACGCCCCCTCTACTTCCATTCAAATCAGTTCACTGTGTGGTAAACGTTGTAATCTGATTTTGCTCTAATGCTCATATAAGAAGTGGTTGTCCCGCATTGTTTGTATCCTTCACCATTTTATTCTTTGAAATTTGTAAAATCGTGAACGGGCCATCACTGTTTGCTTCCCGCTTGATATATCCACCTACATTAAAACTAATCTCCTATTTGTGCATGTAAAACCTGGCGCTAGTCATTACAGCCTTCAGTTTCAAAAATTACAAATGACGTAATTAATTTCACAAACAGAAATCATCTCTCATTTGTTTATCCTTATGGCGCTAGACAAGGTTTACGATGATCGACCTGATGATGGAGAGAGCAGGTACCCCTGAAACTTCGATAAACTTTTATCAGAATGCATGGCGCTACGACCTATCTTCATGCTGGCTGCCGTTAGAACCTGAAATCTCATCTATTCAAAATACTGTTTAAATTTGCAAGCTGATCATTACTTTTATCTTTACAAACTTTTAAGTTGGTAACCCGTTTTAAATTTATTAATGTCTTTGTACAGTTCTCTGGTAATCTTGTCCTTATTGTTTCTTTCAAGGTCACGAAGTTAGTCATTCAGACCCCTATCCTCCTCTTTTGCTCAAGGTTCTAGTTTGTCTTCAGATGGCCCATTTCACTTCGTGTTCTGTATTTCGAATTCTATTAGCATCATGTCTCATGGAGTTCACTTTATCTTTATTTATTTGACTCAGGGCGTGTTTTCATTTACTTATTGTCTATATTAATGTTTGGTATTTGGGTCAAATACCGCACGTGCATATTCAAAATTATGTACTACCGAGATAAGTTTTATCCGTTGCTATTAATACTGAAAAACAGATAAAAGATTTTGGTCAGCAAGTTATTCTGCAGCCATCATGTGGAGTCAGTAGAAGACCGAAGTCCGCAAAAGTCGTTTCCATAAGTTTTTATTAGACAGTGAATAATGTTTAATATTCTTACATATAATGAAATCCAGTTGTTGTCACTAGCCGTTACAGAATCTAATTTATTTCTGCTGACGTTGGTTTAGTTGAAGTGAAGTTGTGCAGGCTCTGTCGGTGGCCTTATGGCCCTGTCACACATTTCACTCTCTTTCTCTGGACCCCAGGGACTTCATTAGGAAGGAATAACATGCCTATCGGTCACTTACCACGCTGTCAATAACGAAGGTTGCCGTAATTTTGCTTGTAGCCTGAGAACTGAAAGTATGAGAAGGGGGCAGTGTAAGTGTGTTTTGAAGATGGCTGTCTTCTGGGTTGTAGCGCCGTGTGGTCTAGTAGAAGTTTACCAACTTTAGGTCCTTGCTGCTTCCAACATCAGGGCGATGTGTCAAGACAGCCGTCATCGGACTCACCGACGTCAAAACTGCAAATTATACCTTTTTTGTCTGGAGTGGTTGTTTCTTGTGTATAAAAGAGGTTTTCAACCCCAAAAGGGACAATTCATGAACCTTTCGCAGACGCGTGACACGGGACTGCAGACTCCCGTGGTCTGTTTGGTTTTTCCTCTGGTGTGTCCTCTTCATGTATCCATTGTAAGCTGTGGTTTACTGGTTCGTGCTCGTAATAAGGAAAAGGAAGTCCATTGAGGATAAAAAGTGTCTTTGTGATTCACATTTTGGGAGGATGATGGAGGCAACAAGGACCTATGAAACGTCGGTAAACTTCCACCAGACTACACGGCACTACAACCCAGGGGACATCTATCTTATCATTGAAGTTAATCTCGTTACCAAGTTCCTGTTTCCAAACCCCTTTATAATCTCAGGCATGCGAACTTTTGAGATGGGAGAAATGGATGACAGACACCCAATAGGCTATGTAGTTGATAAAGATATCTGACTGTTGAATTTTAGAGCGACGTATATCTTTCTGTGCTAATCGAGGTTGTAGAATTGTCTACATGCCCCACGTAAACAATTTTTGGTGCGTAGAAAAGGCCTTCAATGTGAAACTTTACGATCATGTTTTCTGAGTCGTTCTGAGAAGTCTGGGTTGTTAAAATATTCCAGGGAGCAGAGTTCTTGAACTCTAATATACGCTCAGCTTGTCAAGAAATTATCTTCCTTTGTAATTCATAAAAGCTGTCCTCTACATTCTGTCCTTAGCTACATAAATCCTGTAGAGACTGTTGGTATTTGGGCTTTCCGAATCACATATACATTTTCGGTTACTTGTATTTTGCCGAAATTTCCTGGACAGTGTGTAGCGTTGCATGACATGCTAGCCTCTAACTGTGATTGGTACTTAACCCCTGCTCAACCATCAAGCAAGATGACGTATGAAATATTAAAGTGACAATTTAATTTGTGAGTTATGAATTGCCATAATTTGTTCTCTCTCTTCTGAGTTCTAAACAATACATACCTTACACTTTTACTGATGCTGTTTCTTGTATCCAGTTTATTAAATATTACAATTTATAGTCCAAAAGATTAATATTAAACGTAGTTCTTCTCCACTTTACAATTAATTGCGTCTTGTTCTGAAAGAGGAAACATCTGAAATGCGATAAAGGCATCCCTTCCAAATGGCGTATATTTGCCTTCAGTCTCTGACTGCCAAATCAAACACGGCAAACTAACATTTAAGTGAGACGTGCATTTACGCGCCTCTCTTCAGGCAGAGTCTTGTTCCTGTCGGCCGCCTCGAGAAGCTGCGTAATGATGAAGCTGTTTCTTCCAGAGACCGATTTTCTCCCCATCTGTTTCCAATACTCATCTTCGTGCGGGGCTTGTTTCTATCTTGTTTTCATCTTCACCTAATTGGGCCTCCCGAGACGGTAATATTTTGTCAGCCAGTCAAATTGCTTGCCTCCTGGTCCCCCTTCATACACTCCAGTACACGAATCAGAGATCGTCAAAACATCTTGTTAGTTGGCATTTGACTTACGTGCAGTATCGGGCTTGTAATGTGAACTCTTGTTTCATGTATCATTAATTTTAAGAAGCTTCCTAGAATGTC